CTATTTTTCTGTTTGCAGTTGCATGAATTTCCCTGAATTCGTCCACTGAACTCTCATAGGCCTCCCCTTTCTTTATTCCTGTCACTGTACTCCTTGGATTTGACACGCCAAACGCAAAAGAAACTTTCATACAATGAAATAAATTTTATGAGAAACTTGAAAAATCTTTGCCGAAAGTCAGCCACGGTCGCCTGAAGAATCAAAAATGAGTAAAGAAATGAAAAGGAAAACCGTGCTACCATACATATGCGCCGACTTGTCCGCACAGTTCAAAGAAATTTATGCTCTCTAGCTCAGTTATCGCCTCAACTCTGCCGTCTTCCCGACGGACTCAAAACTGCGCAGATATTCACTCCACACGCAACGTTTTATCTGCAACGTGTTGAATTGTGCAGACAAAAGGTGGTGCAAAACGCAGCGTCTGGACTGGCCTTAAGAATTGACCGTGACAACTGCTGAAGCGATCGGACTGTTATGATCGATTGGGTGCGTGATTGGGTGGATTGGGCGAATTCTGAAATTGGGGCGCAACCAGATCTATTTTTTTAACCTGTCCTGTGTTTCTATAGTGCTGAAACAGTTAAAGCTGTTAAAATATATATTGGTTTACTAAATTGGGTTTTATTTGTGAAATACACACTTGTGACTAACCTTTCTCATCTCAAATTGCGGCATAACAAGTATCAAGAAAGAGGTGCTGGTTTCCATATGTGTCTGTGGGGGGGGGGATTGGGCGTGCTCTGGAATTGGGTCGCAACCGTGCTCTTTTTACAGAGACAGAATCTTGAGAATTAGAGAAAATAAGTAAAGAAATGGAGAAATTATATCCATCCACGAACATCGAAAAATGGAAATATTACTTTCTAACTTCTCATTGACCGATTTTATCTGTTTATTGACATAGATTCACTCGTCCGTCAGTTAAAAAATCTTAATTATCTTCTTGTACTTACAGTGTATGTATACTCAGTAAATAGTAAATAAACACATTAACCAATAATAGTAGTAGCATTTGTGAAGCACGCTATGATGCCTATCTAAATCTATAGACCAAAAACCAGACATGATTAAACATTGTGACGTATTTATAACATTTAATTTTCTCGACACATAATAATATAATATAATAATAATAAGGTATAATAATAAGGTATAATAAGGTATAATAAGATAATGCTGTTTCTTAATCCCTTGGTGAATGCATGTTATTACACAGCTAAACTATGTTAATGAGAAGTTTGAAACCATTCTTGCGTTTCATAACTGCTATTAGGTAAATAGATCTTTGTTTGCTCTTGTGCATAGTGACAACAGCTAGTAAAAGCAAGAACGGCAGCATAATCTATTTTCAAAGGCCAGCGAGTGCGGTAGCCCAGACGGTCAGTCTCAATCCCAGCACACGCACGTAGTGGAAACGCACACGCCAGTTTTCAAGTCCAGCCATGTGGCTTATTGGTCTCAGGCCAATCTCNTATTTTTTCACATTTGTTCTTATTTTAAGTGTATGATTTTAATTATCATTACATAAGTACATAAAATATTTTGTGTAAATACTGTACACATATTTCAGGGTCCACGATAGTTATGAGCCTTCGGGCCATCAGTTCGGCCAAATTTGGTACGTAGAAGAAACTAGACGTCGTGAAATTATTGCAGCTAGCTGGGGCTTTGAACCAGCAACTCACTGCTCTAATCTCGCTGTTCATAGAATGAACGTCTACACCTTTAACAGGTCTGTCTCTTATACACATCTAGATGTGTATAAGAGACAGGTGTAGTGTTGGGGAGTATATGAAGTCAGACTAGTGTGTGTTTGTAATGAATCGAAGGGCTTTGTTGTAGAGTGTAGACTGTCTGCAGGTTAGATAATAGATGTGGATGATTTTGATTGGGTGCGTGACGGTTTTGGGAGGTAAATTAGGGATGATCTAACTAAGGCGAAATTTAAAGTGCGTTTTCTGTTGAGAGGGATGTTGAAAATCTGGGTACCTTGCGTAGATTTGTAAGGCCATTGCTTTACGTTTTGTTATTTATGAGCTGTAGCCGTAAGTGGTGAAAAGTAATCCTAAAACTGTTCGTTTGTTCCTGTTTACATAGTGGGTGCTGTAAATGAACATATCGGTGTATTTCCATATGATGGGGATGATTTTAAATTTATTTGTGTTCGTCGTTAATGAGCCACTTGTTTTCGAAGGCGTTAATCTGTTGTACGACGTGTTGTCTTTGTACTGCTGCGTGGTTGTGTGGGTTATATCCAGCGATTATTTGTTATGTTATCTGCAAAAGCTACGTAGTTTGTATCGTGTAGTGGTGGTGTGAGGTCGTGGGTGTAGAAGCTGTAGAGAGTGTCAGAACGTTACCATCCGTGACGTCATTAGCCATTCTTACGTCACTTATGACGTCAGTACGGTGGACTCTATTTGAGCTCTTATAGCTCACCACCAAAGCAGTTGTAGAGAGAGAGACCTCCCTAGCATCAACGCTCATTTCTACTCTCCGACACGGGCTAGATTCACTTTCGAGCGTGTAGTATAACTTACCCTCATTGCTACTGTAATAAATCGTGCCTACTGTACACCTATATTTAATAATTAAAATTATACCCTTTAACTTCAATCATTCACCTGCTATATATAGCGTTAGACAAGAAGAACCTATTCTGATAGATGTTGTTTTGTCTGTAAGGAAATCTGAATTCTGAAAGTGTTTCTGTAAAGAAGGGGTGAGGTTGAGTTGTATGAATTTATATTGTAGTCCGGTGCGCCAAATCTTGTCGAAGGCCGTGGTAACTTCGCGGCCCACTTTGTCAATGGTATGTTTGTGTACTGAGAGTGTGGCAAGTGTTCGGGAATGTAGCTAGTGCTGTACGTAACCCTCTGTGTATCCTAAAGCCGTGTTGCCTTGCACAGTGGGTGTTTTGAATAGTGAGGTGTTAGTGTAATCCGGTGGTTCCCAAAGTGGTGAGCGATATCGCCCCCCCCGTGGGCGGTGGAAAGATCTGGGGGGTCGGTGAGGAAGAAAGGGGCAGTTGAGGGGCGGCAGTCCGCGAAGTCGAAGTCAGAAGTTAGTACGTTTGTTTGACGATTTGTACACAACACGTGTAGAACATGACACCGAATCGAATTAATTTTCACGAGCTAAAAATCACCATTTGATAATTAGGAATTTATATTCAAAATTTTGTTGGAATCTGTTGAGTAGTTTGGAAGAAATTCTTTGATCACTGCGAATTGCGGACGTATCGTCAAGGTGAAATTTAAAATTTTTTGCGAGCTAAACATCACCGTTAGGTTTTAATGAATACGTCTTCCAAGTTTTATCGAGCAGCGTTCATTAGTTTGGGAGATATTCTTGATCACTGAATTTGGAGATCGGCCTTGAGACCGGCTGCGAGACCAGCCACGGTTCCGGCCATAAATTTGTCCGAGCCGTCTTGAATTTCTAGTGCTGAAACTGTTGAAACCGTAAAAAAATATATGGGTTTACTAAATGGTGATCTGTTTGTGAAATACACATTTGTGTTTAACCTTTCTCTTTTAAAATTACAGCATATTAAATATCAAGAGAGACATTTGTTTTTATTCGTGTCTGTCGTGGGGGGGGGTGCTTGGGATTCACTGGGCAGCCAAATTAAGGGGCGAAAGGCTGAAAAAGTTTGGGAGCCACTGGTGTAATCTATTGTTGATTATTTTGTCTAAAAGCTTCACGTTTATGTCTGGAAATGAAATCTGACTGTATTTATGGACTTGGTGCTGTGAAGTATTGAGTTTAAGGAGAAAAATTGTTTTAGTGAGTCAGGGAAGTAATTAGACCCCTAGGTTAATTCTTTCATGATTCAGGGTCGTTCGAAATTGTCAAAAATACGAAAAATAGCACATATATGGAAAATTTCCTATAAATCTAGCTATGATTTTTAGTGGTCACAGTGGGCAAAAATCATCATAAAAACGTTTAAAGAATATGAGGGCAGAGTATAAGTCGATATTTTAAAATTTTGCTCNAAAAATCATAATAAAAACGTTTAAAGAATATGAGGGTAGAGTATAAGTCGATATTTTAAAATTTTGCCCAAAATAATAATTTTAGTTATTTGTGAGTCGCAAGAGGTAAAAAAGATCATTATATCATCTCTAGTATACATGTTCCGATTTATAGTTCTGTATTATCACCTTCATGTGTTTTTACTATTAATATAGTCATAATTGTACATTTTCTTTTCTTATTTGATTTCTGAGTAAGTTTGACTTTATTTTAAACAAAAAATATTGATAAAAAATAAACTATTGAAACCAATTTCCTTACACGCTCATATTTCAAGTTCTACCAACGACTCTATTTTCAAATCACATAGATAATCCACAACAGTGACCTGAATATGGAGATTTTACGCCGAGTGATCGGGGACATTTTCACCACCCCCCTCTTAAGGTTCCTAATTCCGCTAGTTTTTATATTTGAACCTGAAATTTAGGCGCAGTTTTTTTTAAATATGAACCAACTTACGTGTCTAATTTCATCAATATTTTTTATGATCAGGTGGGGCTGATTTTCAAAATTTCAAAAACTTTTGAAAGGAATGACCATAAAAACTATATAAGTTTATATTTATATCAATTCAACTTTATTTATTACTCAAAATTAATAATATAGAGTTTTTTAGATTGATACTAAAGTTTTTATTTTCGATTAGGATTAGCATCTCTAGCTGCTCACCTTAAGCCTGTAGGTTTATAGATTTGAACTTGTCACTGGTATCATTAGTTCCTGAGGATTTTGTATTATCAATAATATTATTCACCATTGTTGTGTTTACACGATAATATGTGTGGCAAATCTGATTAATAAGCAATAAATTATTTCTCTATGAATAGTAATATCGTAGAAATTCGAACTGAACGCTTACTAGTGTTGGAAGTAAGGAGTTAGGCAATTCAATGGCATGAAAGATTTTATCTGACTATATGGTGCCTAGCAACAACAATGAAAGCACTCGTGAAGCTTTACTCACTCCATTCGGAACATAGCGACGTGCAGTCTAAGTTGGAGCAGCGGTCGAAAGCCTCGTAGAAGGGCGCGTCCTCAGAGGAAATGAGGTTGCCTGACATCCACGTGTCCCAGTAACTCACGAGCTGGCAGCCTTGCGAACATGAACATGATAGGAAAACGCGTTAAATATTTGGATTCTGGAACACGGTTTTTCTGTCCTGCCAACAATTATCATTTTTAAATTGATTTGGTTTCTTTATTCAATCCAAAATATGAGAAAACAATCCTCATTCCTTGCAAATTTAGTTTTGAGACGATAAGCGGCGCCAGGCTTCGAACACAATAGCCCACGAACTTTGACAAATATGTTAAGAATTACATCCAAACTTAACGATGAACGCTGCTCAATGCTTAATTTCCTCATGATAAGGCAATTTTTGTGTAGTTGGCTTTTCTCGCCGTCATTTAACTGAAGGAGAAAATTGCAATTACCACAAGTCTTATATGCTGGAAATTCCTCACTAATCTACAATCCGTCCATTGTTTGTCGTCGAATCATATCGTATCTAAGTGCTGTAGAAAAGGCCTGGTGTGGCTTGCCGCCATCTCCGCATACTGAAACGCAAGTTAATAAATCCAATAAACTGCTTGGGTTGATCAGACGCTCCAACGAGTACCTAGATGTAGAAATGATGAAGCTGTTGTTCACCTCTGTCGTGCGCCCGAACTTAGAGTTTGGAAACGTTGTGCGGTCACCGAGACTTGAAAAGGGCAAAAATTCAGTTGAGAGTTTCCATAGACGTGCAACAAGGATAATTCAGGGCTTGAAGGGCAAGTCTATAGCTTCTGGAGAGAGATTGAAGATTATGAAGCTTCCCAGTCTCTGTTATCGCCGCCTGCGCTGTGACCTCATTGAAATATACAAGTATACTCATGGTTTGTACAAGGTCCCAGAAGGGTTAATTGAATTTGAAACAAGAACCAACATCAGAGGCCACAGCTATAAACTAAAAAACTTCGGTGCAACTCATCCATGCGACAACACTTCTCGCTTCGAGTCACCGACATGTGGAACAGCCTCCCTGAAGGTGTTGTTGACACTCCGAGTATGAAAGCGTTCAAGAACGGGGCGCATGCCGGAGACCAGCTTTGCCAAACTTCTCACTTAGTTCATATTCCTTTACATAGGTAAGAACGCTAGAGTGCATAACGGCCTATGAAGGCAAGTGCTCAAAGCCATAGCGCCGGATGTCCACAGCCACAAAATAAGCTTGCCAACGGTAAACATGGCCATACTGCATCTGGCCAAACTTCCTCTGGCCTAACCTCTTCAGGCCTAACCTAAACAAGCTGCAACCTTTCTCCACCCAAAACAAACCTGAGCGGACCTAACCTAACCTCATTGGCTGCAAAAAGTTAGAGAGGCGGTCCAAGTGTGTTGGTAGAGCCAGTCATTGGCTGCAAGAAGGTTGTGAGCCGGGACAGCGTGAATAGGTTAGGCCGGAGTAGGTACAGCCGGACGGGGAACTGCCTGCTTATGAGCGAGCATGCTTAAGCATTGGCTGAAGACCTACGACACTATTATCTTTCGGCAGTGTGTCGCTTGTCTGGATTATGGAGTTCAAGCGTAGTCTGCGGCTTCTATTCTGAGGCTGAGTAAAGTTGAAGCATCGTGAAGCTAGGCGTTGGCTCCAGGGCCGATTTACGAGTAAAATTTGTGCCTGCGGCTGCGACCCCTCATGAACGGACTAGACAAGCCCATGCAAGAGCATTTGTTCAGTCTAGAAATGCTTCGTATCTTACGAAACAACTGAAATCTAGAAATGATTTTAAACCTACCGTCCGTTGAAAATATTTAATCAAAAGGCCAGTCTTTTAGATCTGCGAACTATTCAAGAAAAGTAGAAGGATCGGATACAAGCCTATCCATGCCTATTCTTCAATGCCGAAGATACTATACTATACTATCTCTTATACTTTTCGTGACTTATTCACAGGAGATCTAAAAACGGGTTATTTGACCAGATCATTTCAAAACTGATCTTCTATCAGGTTCGTATGGTGCCTGGCATTTCAACTTTCAAGTCGGAACATTTATTTCTCCATTGCTTTATCTAGTCTGTTCTTGAACGCGTTCATACTCGGAGCGTCAACGATGCCATCAGGTAGGCTGTTCCACATGTCGGTAACTCATAGCGAGAAGAAGTGTTATGTCGCGTGGATGAGTTGCAACGCAGTTTTTTAGTTTTTATTCGGGTCCCCTGGTGTTGGTTCTTTTTTTCAAATTTTAGTAATCCTTCTGGGAACTTGTATAAACCATGATTATACTTGTACACTTCGATTAGGTCGCCATGCAGACCTCGATAACATAGAATTGGAAGCATCATAATCTCTAATATTTCTTCACAAGACTTGTCTTTTAAGTCTGGAACAATCTTTAATTATTGCACGTAATTGAACTCTAAATTTTTGTCCTTCTCAAGTTTCGATGACCAAACAGCGTTTCCAAACCCTACTTTCGGAATTCGAAATAGTCACTATCGTTGCCAAGATGTCTTCTTATACTATAATTTTGCTGTTCATTTAATTTTCTTGCCGAGATGAAGTACAATAAATACGCTATTCAGCATTAAAACGCACCCTCCACGTATCAGCCCAGTAAACTAAACTATCAAGATCATTTTGGAATCGCACTTTGTTAAACGCATCTTTAACTGAATTAACTGTTAAGGATGCGTGTGATTAACTTCTTAACTGTATCGGTATTGTGTGGTGGTTGGCGCACTATAACCAACCATGAAGCAGAGCAGTAATCTTACCAACCAGCGATGTAGCAAGCGGTGTAAAGGTAAGTAGAGCACGGCAGAATTCTGAAGGCTCCGCATTTGCTTCGGAGATTTTTAGAGCCTCTGATGTAGTGGTTGGCATTGATTTATTCAACTATTTAGTTTCTTTCCAATACGTGTGGATCTAGAGCCGTGATGAGGTGGAATACTAATTCAGTGTTGGAATACGAATGAGGTGGAATACTAAATCAGTGGTGGAATACGAATCAGGTGGAATAATAATTCAGTGTAAATTCTAGGATATATCTTCTTTTCAGATTCATTCAACATTTTTACATAAACTTGTAAAATGCTGTGAAAGTAAAAAAATACTAACCACACTATTTTCCAATCCAATACATGTGAATGATATAGGATGGTCACACATTACAAAAAATCTTAACGAAAATTTCGTGATTCCCATTCATATTTTTGCGGCCATTTGGCCATTTGGCCAAAAGTCATGCTTATTTCACACATCGCTGCAATTGAACGAACTCACTTTTGCCTTGATCGCGCTGGGCAAGCAAATCTGTAGCACCGGTGCAGACGTAGCCAGGCAGCGAGAAGTTGAGGGCCCACTCAGGGTGGTACGGTAGAATGGCTGGGATCGAGTAGCGCACGCAAACTTTGGCGGCCGGACAAGGGCTGCCGGCACACGGATCCATCTGCAATGAATGATTAGGTATTAAACATTGTTCAAAATATCTTATAAGTCTGTTTTTGTCAGTGATGATATCAGGTGAGATATTATCGATACATTTAATTAATTAATTTAGATTTTTAATTTGATTTAAATTTTTAATTTAATTTAAATTCTTAGTTAATTTGCGATTTAAGCATACAAGTGATATCAATTCATTAATAGCTATCTACTAAGCGCCGCGCTTGTGTTGCATGAGGCATGGCCCCTGTCAATCGCTAGCTCGTCAATCGGTCAAGAAGCGCATGCAGAGGCTGCAAAGCGCCTCTGCATGTGCTTTGAGGCACTTGATTCTCGTGTATTGCCCCTAGTGTGAACGGGCCTTAAGACGTGTGTCCTTTATTGACGTTGGGAGAATGTAGTGGTATTTGATGGATAATTTGTGGGTTGTCTTCAGCCCAATAATGAAAATTTTGCTTATTTACAGTCCCATAGAGGTGAAAATGCGCCTCATCACTGCTGAAGAACGCTGATTCGGGAGCAATCTGTTCAAGCATGTTCTCACACAGATTTCGGCGGCTGGCTAAGTCTGCTTCGTTCAATTGTTGGACCATCATCATTTTGTAGGGATGGAAATGCAAATCCTACAGAATCCTCCTCAAACTGCGTGAGGAGATGCCCAAAGCAACGGCATGCCTTCGTGCAGAACGTCTTGGCGAGTGGATGACTGCTGCTCTCACCCTCTCGAGATTACCTGTTCTGATGAACCTGCGTCGGCCATAGGCACACCAAATGTTGACTAACACCACTCTCGTTTGGAGTCACTCTCTAGTAGAGCGCCTAATTGATCTTTATTGAGAACATGAATGCCTATGGAGTGTTCGGTCAATGGAGTACAAAAGTCGAAATACAAATGATGTAAGTTATTTTTACATGACGTGTTTAGTTTATGTGATTTTAGCAACTCCTGACAATTTATGCATTACCGTTTAGCGATTTTAAAGGATGATGTAATATCGGTACGAATATTGGAGCTTTTTATTTAAGAATGGGCTATATTTTTTATAAACTGTATCTTTTTTAATGTGCTACTTCTCTAATTATGATGCCAATGCTAAGTTCTCGTTTACAACTGGCATAGTGCGAAGAATGACGGACCGCAGCACACCCGAAAACAATGGCCCACAGCTCAAATTCGGTGTCATCCATCCTCATTGACGTCTAGGAGGCAACTAGTGTTCAAAGCGCGCGGTCTCCAACTACCGAGTACAAAAGTAATGTGAACGGTTGTGCGCGGTGAGGCACTGCAGCAAACGACTCAAAGCGCATGTCGTTGCCACTAGTGTAAACGGGCCTTAAAAGTGTGCTACCAGTTACCTCCAACAGCCTAACCCAGGACCGAATTGTGTTTGCATGAGGAAGAGCATCATTGCATGGAATATTGAACCGCCGCCGAAAAGCTCCTTGCGTTGCAATCAAGGATTGATTGTTCTCGAAATATGCGCGCACAGCAAAGACACGATATTCTCCTAACCACACTATGTTGGCTACTGAAATGGGAATTGGGAATACCGGATGGGCTGCAAAAAATCACCCGCACGCCCATCCCCTTCCTTCCCTGCGAGCACTGACTGCTCTAAACTGCTCAATTGGTTCTGCCCCACCCTGTAGTGTGAGAATACTTGTATTGTAATCACCGTTTTCCAAACCATCCGACAGCACACTCAAACGATTTAAAAAATTAAGATATTTTATTTCTTTATTGTTTTAAATTAAATAGATGCATTATCACATAAAAGTATCTAAAAAACTACTGTCGAATGGTTATTGGAACGTATTAGTTGGGAAAAATGACTAGTGCTTCTCGTCTTATTTGTGTCTTGTGGATTTTTTTTTACATTTCACGATTGATGGCACAATCCTGAGAGTAGATAGTGAATTGAACTATGCCCAGTAAGTTATCTACCAAAAAAGAAAATAAAAAATAAATCAATAAATAAAAGCCCAACGCAATGAAACTTCGAAAAGGCATCAGCAAGTCAACCAAAAACTGAATCTATATCCTAATCAAATATCTTGACCTTTGATTGGTCAAAATTAGAGGCTTAAATTACTTTACTAATGATAATATGGATTCTTTAAATTGGTAATGGAGATCAAACCAAACTAACAGTAAAAATCCATTGGAAGGACTACAAAACACCTTCTTGATTCAACGATGCTCAAGGTCTCCTTCCCGCACTTTAAATACATTTCCTGAGAAAAAGGGGCGCACCCGTTGCGGAAGTGAAGACAAAACTTGGCGGCAATGATAGGTTTTAGCTGAACTGAAGGGAAGACGAGGACACCCTGTGTTCCAGTTAGGACTTAGCTTTAGCCAGCAGTCATGAGCGGAACAATGGGATCCACTGGGCTAGTATTGGCCTAGATATGTTCAGATTAAATTGCGATGAATAACTCGAACAGCCTTAACTAGCTGCCACCGCGGGAACGGTGACTTTCATTCATGAGCCAAATGGGACCCAGCCTCCGATTACAGCTGGTCTTCTGTTGTTGTAAGTCCGGTTGGAAATACGTGCATTTCGGAGTCAATGAAGGTGTTTTGTGCTAAGATCGCTAGCCACTTCATTGCCTGTTATTACAATAGTAGTAAATTCACCTTCCAGTCATAAATTACCTCAAGTCAAACGTGGCCAAACAGTGCAATAAACTTATTTAATGTATGCTGGTTGTTCATGTCCTGCCAGAAATTCAATTAATTTTAGACAAGGTAGACCAGATAATTTATGTACCAATATAGCCGACTGGGTTTTACGGGTGACGGCGAATCCGTAATGCCACAGATTTCAGCGCCTTGGAGAAATTATGCCAGAGTTATAATAAGGTTAACTGATCTTTTATAGACATATCGATGTATTTATTTGGACAAATATCTAAATAGAGCATCAGAGTGTTGATTCTCACCAAAACATTGAGGTCAGGCTGTTGAGTGATGACGTATGAGACCCAAACTGGCGAGTTGACGACGGTCGACACGGTGTCTCTGAGCTGGCACGAAACTCCTGCACACAAGCGGTCAGGGAATACTTTAGCCATGGCTTAGCCATGCTCTAATGATACTTTAACCATGCTTAAATGATACTTTAGCCATGTTTTAATGATGCTAAAGCCATGCCTAAAGGCCCGTTTCCACTATGAGACTCTGCGAGACTGACGATTGAAAAAACTGGCTTTTTCAGTCCGGACTGAGGCAGTCCGGACCATCGAGACTGGAGTGACGGGAAGTCAAGCGCTGTTCAATCTTTTACTGGACTTGCGTGACGAGCAATCGCCAGTGTCGCTGTGACTTTCGTTCAAGGAGGGTGTGTGCTTTGCGGGCGCTCCAATAAACGCACCATTGCCTGTCTCTTTGCTTAACTGACCATGTCGCACAACGGAGACTGGAGCAAAGATGTCACTGAAAGGCTTATCGATTTATATAGAGAGGCACTTTGCTTCTGGCAAGTAAAAAGCTCTTTTTACAGGGACAGAATCTTGAGAATTAGAGAACACAAGTAAAGAAATGAAGAAATTATATCCATCCACGAACATCAAAAAATGGAAATAATACTTCTTAACTTCTCATTGACTGATTTTATCTGTTTATTGACATATATTCACTCGTCCGTCAATTAAAAAATCTTAATTATCTTATTGTACTTACAGTGTATGTATACTCAGTAAATAGTAAATAAATACATTAACCAATAATAGTAGTAGCATTTGTGAAGCACGCTATGATACCTATCTAAATCTATAGACCAAAAACCAGACATGGTTAAACATTGTGACGTATTTATTACATTTAATTTTCTGGACACATTAAAGGTATAATAAGATAATGCTGTTTCTTAATCCCTTGGTGAATGCATGTTATTACACGGATAAACTATGTTAATGAGAAGTTTGAAACCATTCTTGCGTTTCATAACTGCTATTAGGTAAATAGATCTTTGTTTGCTCCTGCGCATAGTGACAACAGCTAGTAAAAGCAAGAGCGGCAGCATAATCAATCTTCAAATGCCAAAGAGTGCGGTAGCCCAGACGGTCAGTCTCAGTCCCAGCACACGCACGTATAGTGGAAACGCGCACGCCAGATTTCAAGTCCAGCCATGTTGCTTATTGGTCTCAGGCCAATCTCAATCCTTCAGAATCTGTCCCGTAGTGGAAACGGGCCTTAAGATTGCCAATGATGTGGAGGGGTCGTGTAGTACGTCTAGGGGTTTCAGCAGTATACGTCGTGATACATCTGCCACCTCAAACTAATTGTGTCAAAGAACTCATTCTGTATGAATAAATCGGATGTTAGATTTCATATCTCTAAAATATTGTTTCTGACATACGCTAACTTGAGCTGTGTGTTATTATACATATTAGTTAGATGTCCGTTTCTTTTATTTTAGGTCTCTCTCCTGTTATTGATCTGAATACAGTTTAGGTTCCCAAGTCTTCACTATTTTATAACACAAATCATCAGCAAGCCATCAGCATCGTTTCTTTGACCGACTGAAAATTCGCGGGTTTAACCCGGAATGTTACCCGCATACATCGAGCTTTGAATATCCAACATTTTAATCAGTGGAGATACCACAAGAAGATGGGACATATTCAGGGGATGGCAACCCCCAGGCAATTCTTGAATTGAATAATGTAATAACAGCAGCAAAATGAGTGATCCATGGGAAGGTTGTTGAGGTTTATCGAAAACTTCGCCCTCCGGATACAAATATGGTTGTTTTATTGCCAATAGCCGTTCTTACTGATCAATGATACGTTAATAATCATTCGGCCTGGTAAATATTTACTGTAATAACGATCATTGCACTTGTATTACTTCATGTTCAGAACAATCATAGAAAAGTATATAGAAATAGTGCAGTTTAATACAATGTGTATTTGACCACTCATGATCAAGTTCTCGTTTGCCCTCGTACACTCTATCAATCATGAACTTTCATTAAAGTACTGAAGTTTCTGGACGTTCAATTTTAAACCCCAGATTTTAACGAAAGTAAAATCAATGTCAATGAAATATTCTATTGGGAAGTCTAAGGTGGCCATGCATGCGAGGCAGGCGACGCTCGTCATGTTCAATCATATACATACGTCTGTTGGTCACAATATTTCTGCTCTCACAAAATTGAATGGATCTGCGTATTTTCCTAATGAATCATTTCCTGCGTATTTTCCTAATGGTACGTTTCATGAATTTTGATAATATAAAATTTATCAATTATTTGCACTATAGTAATTGAAGTGGGATCAAGGCTACTGAAATTGTTCTTATTTAGATTAACTTAACATCAAACATCTGCGCAAATTTGATATCTAAATTGAATAGCCGTTAAAACTTGGGTGTTCATACCATGCAGGAGACCTATTTTCTTATATGCTCATTAAGGCTGAATTTTTCGGGACGACCTTTCGGCGGTCCCTAGTCTTATAGAGGCTTTTTGGCAACTTTGATGATTACGTCATTATCATTTTAAAAAATGGCCTGTCATTGTCAGTAAATTGAAAGTTGATTGAAAAAACCAGTGATTGAATTCAGGGTTAAAATTTCTCACAAAATTTGAAGAAAATAATTGTTATCATGCGCCAGTTTTTCATTGTATACGTCACCATCGTAGCTGAAGGCGACGCAGAGCTCGTAGCCACGGCACAAGTCCAGGCAGGCCAAAACGCGAGGGACCGTCTGGGTCAGTAGGACAGACCCTTTGGTGAACCTCTTTTTTCCTGCAATGGTTTTAAAGAAACAAATTAAGGCTGCACTCCTTGCCAAGCATTGAAAGACATACGTACGGGACTAGCATTCCCGCATCAAAAAATTCTGACCCCAACTACGCCGAGCCCCAGATAATATTGAGACATCCCATGTGAAACAATTAATCTACAACGTATTAAGTTGAACTTACCACAACAGTGTTTGCATCGTGGAGAAATCAACCAATTTCAATTTAGGTAAGTTCAAAATGAGATCAAATTTTATATTGATATATAGATAAGAGAATTTTACAAAATTTACTATCACAGAGATAAAATACTAGCTCATAACTACCAATATTATTACTCGAGTCCAGTGGAAAAATACTATAAAAAGTAAATCTGTCACGCAAGACCGTCATCCACGATAAGAAACATAATGCATACTCACGCTTGCTGGAAGTTCGCATATAAATCAAATAAAAATAGCAATTGTTGCTGCTGGACAATTTATTCATATGCGTGGATGCGTTGAAGCGCAAATGAGAGAAATTACTAGCAGTAGAAAACTGCTGGAATAATGCACGTTACAAATTATAGTTACATTATTAACTTGAATAAACCTTATACGAGCCCGCGTTGGACACATGAAGCCCGCTACATGGAGGCCTAACCGGCCGAATGAAGTATAAAATTAGCGTCGTGTCATTCACCAGCATAATTGTAGAAGTCGATGCATTCCCGTAATTACGATGTTATTCCGCGTAATTAAAAAAGACTTGAGACCCGAAAAGATGCATCTAAATAAAGTTCAAAGCCGTTCTTAGGCCGAAAATAAGGAAGCAATGAAATTATTGTATATCCAATATTAAAAGTGACCGTATTCTCGTATTTATAATTTTAGAAAACATATCGTGTAAAATCTAAACAACATTGCGTGATCGCAAAAAGCACGCGCTGCGTTTATGGCCACGTGTTCATTAAGCGTGTATTATATTTTAACATTAAGCTGAAAATGGCACGTATCAGAGGCTTCAAAGGTCGTATTAGCAGGCATCAAAACTTCAGCAGCTGATATGCTATATGCTTCATTATTTGCTTAACCCTGGAGGCCGGATCGATGACCTTACAGGAACTTTAGTGATAGACTCCAGTCGACTTTTAGGAGACTTGATGCAGTCGAGTTGGACGCGTTACTATTGGTTTAAAACCGAACATTGATTTGTTGCTCATTTCCCATTATGAAAAGATTTATTGTCCGATATTTTTTATAGCGGAAAATACCGCTATAAATCGGCGCGATATCAAAAAATAACATCTTCTTTTAACTATGGTTCAAAAACTATTAAAAAGCCGACACAGATCTTTGCGGCTTCTAATAGCAAAGTAAATTTAGATTTTGAGTAACATTATATCGCTATTAGCCTATTACCAGCGGCAGCAGCCAGAAATTATTTCGATACCTACCATGTGCTGGAACGAAATTTCAAGTGAGAGAGCGCAAGTAAGTCCGATGATTATCCCTAGTGTTTCGTAGTAACTTTAGAAGAAGACGGGTTAGAAAACATAGAGTGTGGAAAAAACTGGATAATTTGAGTGTTTTTCATAAGTTTGGCTGTCTTGAAGTGAAGGAAATCGTCTACCCTAGTCTAACCGCCCCACAGTCTCCATTGAATTACTCAATTGCTAATTAATGAATGCTAATTTTGCTCCCTCCTAGTTTCGTAAACTGTAACAAATAAACGGTAATTCGTCTCTGTTTGACGAGCTTACAATGGCGCAAATCATGTTAGAGATCCAGGTCGCTATGCAGCTTGCAATGTGTGTAGTCTTAATAAAAAGTTTTAATATCGTCCTTGAAAAACTTTCATTGGTAATATCGTTTAATTGCACCTAAACTCAATGTATTAGGCAATTCCAGCTGTAGAAAATATCGCGTATAATCCGTGATCAAAAAATAAACTCACATGATACGGAGTTGACCATGGAGTACTCTTCAGAAAAGTAAGACTGCTGGGGGTCGGAGGTGAATTGCTGGCATGGATCCACAGCTTCCTAATACAGGGTCCACCATATTTATGGCAACGCATGGGTTTTTGTTATTTCTCAATGACACAAACAGGTGCATTGTTTTTTATTGGATGAGCTAGTAGCCAAGAATTACCAAAACAATTCTCAGACATATTTATTCAATATGACCACCCTTATTTTTTAATGAAGGTCTCCAATCTATGCGGGGAAGCTTCACAGGAGACACGCAGCATTTCTTAAGGGATCAAGTCCCATTCTCGTGTCAATTTAGACTTCAAGCTATCCAAAGAATCATGAGGTGTTCTGCAGACCCTACTCTCTAAAATAGCCCACGCAGAAAAGTTGAGAGGATTAAAATCAGGGCTTCTTGAGGGTCATTCATTTTTGCTAATGAACGCTGAGATGTGACCCTGAATCCAGTTTTGGGTCATGTTTGAGCCATGTGATGAGGCAGAGTCTTGTTGAAAACTCCATGGTTAGCCGTTGAAGTGTTTGTCGGGCCCATGCAAGGTAAAAACACAGCTTCCAAAATGTCCGAAATGTATCGCTCACTGCTCAATTTTACTCCTGGGTGGACAAAAACGAGTGGGACCTCCCAGTGGCGGTTACCGCGGCCCAAACCATCATGGACATGGGATTTTGACGTCGTGTTGCTGTTCTGGTGGCCACAGATCCATCCCGACTCCAAACTCTGTCATTTTGACGGTTAACGCTTTGTTCAATGTCATTTTTTCTCGTCACTGAACACCAAGTTGGGCAGCATGCCATCCTCAATGATATTCAGAAAGAATGTACTGGCATCTTTCGAGCCTCATTCGTTCATGACGGTCTGTTAGTTATGCCATGTTTGCATCTTGTAAGAGGATGTCTTGAGGTCATCTTTGAGGACTCTACGCATTGATGTCTAACTGACTCCTGCTTCTGCAGCCAATTTTGCAGCTGAGCGACGAGGGTTTCTCCTCAACTTTTCCCTCGTGTTTTTGACCAATTGTTTTGTTTGGACACTTCGTTTCCTTCCTTGACCAGGTCAATTGCATGTTTCATCAGTTTCCTTGAATTTTTTTACCACCTTCCACACAGTTTTACGACGAATTTGGGGCTTTTTTGCAATGACTGTATTACTCTCGCCCTTTTCATGAAGGGATATAACTGCATTTCTATCTACTGCCATAAGTAATAGTAAATTTAGACGCCTTAGACTTCAGCAATATAAAATCGATGAATTAATAGATGATATTGAGCTTCTTTAAAAAAGAAAAGTCTCCTAGAAACCATGCTGTTATTTTATATAGCAAACATCCGTTGCCATAAATTATGGCGGACCCTGTAGAAAGACTGCAAGCTGTCGTTGTAGGCGGCTCGAGATCGAGCGAGGCTAGGGTGAAGAGTGGAGTGCCACAGGGAACGGTACTCAGCCCAATCCTCTCCCTCATTCACATCGCCGACATAGATGTGGCAGAGAACAACGCCTCTGCATCGTCATTCGCGGACGACACCAGCAGGTACCAATGACCATAACGGACAGGAGGAACTGCGAGAGGTTGCGATAAAACCTCTCTGCAATATATGACTGGGCCCTAGTGAACAGCATGCAATTCAACGGGACCTAGTTTGAGGTTTTGAGATATAGAGGTCGCGGAAGAGCTTATATGGAGCACCGCTATCTAGCACCTGACAACTCTGAAATTGAGAGAAGCGACTCGTTCGCGATCTAGTAGTGTTGATGAATAACCAGGTCAATTTTTGTTATCACATTACGGCAATAACCGCAAGAGGTAGGCGACAGATGGGGTGGATCTGGCATACGTTCAGAAAAAAAAGAAGCGGAACCGATGATCACACTCTTTAGAGCCATTTTAATACCGATTCTTGAATACTGCTGCCAGCTCTGGACCCCGTTCACACTCGGCGCATTGCGGCAACTGAAAGGTGCGAACCTTCACTTCCAGGATCAGAGGGATGGAAGAGTTGAACTACTGGGAGAGATTGAGGCGCCTGGGTCCGTACTCACAACAGAGGAGACGGGAGAGGTATGTCATTCTGTACACATGGAAGATGATAAGCGAAATGGCGCAAAACTTCGAGAGCGAGACCTTCAGGATTGAGACACATCACAACGAGAAAAGGTGGAGACTGTGCAAGATCTCCCACTACGTAACAGATCTGCAGTCAGACTTCACTCCCTGCGGGAAGTATCACTTTCCGTGGCAGGGCCGAGGCTGCTTAACGTCCTACCAAAGGATATAAGAGATGGGGAGTTCACCCTGGAGACCTTCAAAAGACGACTGGACGTGTTCTTGGGCACAATTCCAGATCGACCTCCCCTGCAACACTACCAGCGGCGAGAAGCAAGCAACAGCATCGTTCATCAGCTGCCCCAAATGAGGACGGATGAGCGATAATTCAGAGGCGGCGATCCATCGTGGCCTGGGACTGCTACGTCCGAAACAATTATCATGATATCAAGTTATCAAGTTACTCATAAGTTTCAAACTCCCAGTTGGCGTTAAATATTGAATTTTAGACACGATATGACATAGCAACTCAACATTGAAGCAACAAGCAGGCAACTCACCCAGGGACCTCGCCGAGATCGACGAGTAGTCTCCGAGGGCTGCCGAGTGGGCGAGATACAGCGCCAGGCAGAGCACGCCTGACAGCCATGGGCGAGGCTTCATTCCCGTAGCACTTATACTGCGATGACTTATAATTTTAACAGATGCTAACACTCTATAAATCTTCTCAACTAGTTAATTAAACTCTACCCAAAAAATGTTGGCAGTCAATTACCTGATGATCTGAAAGATAGCATTTACAAGTTCATCAATCGCTGCAGAAAACGTTAGTAGGGACACTATAGTCTAAAAATCGTTCCCGCCACTGACAAGCATGTTGATGGTGTCGTACGGGATTTTTTGTATTACACTTTCTTCCCCATACGCGCTAATACAACACGAGATTACACCGTCTTGAATTACCCGAAGTTACATTTATCCCAGAATATAGTTCATGCAGAAATCCGGTTAAATACTCAATTCTGTTTCTTTTACGCAATGCCGATGTCATTGTGTCTAATGGCATTGTGTCTAATAAAGGCGAAGTAGAGGAATGGATGACAGAGAACATTTTGATCAAAAGATTTGAGTTATAACGCTATACTTCGCTTCATGAGTTTGACCAATTCAGACGTAGACAGTTTACTTTGTCTTACATTGATATTGGAGTGGAGCGTTCTTTTCAACTTTTTGGATTTCGGGTTCAAAACAGTGCGGAAAAAATTTCATGTAGATACATTTTCAAATGTAAGGCTTCATATTATTATCTTCATCGCACGAGGGTCACTCCAACATGGATGTTTTTCCTAAAATTGTTACCAATGCAATGGCCATTAGACACACATGTACCTAAGCATGTGCCGTCTTAGCGCTTATTCATAATGTAGCTCCGTTAACATCTGTATTCGATAATTATTCGTGGTGTTAGTTGCCGCTGAAAGGTTTGTTCGATATATTATGCGCAATCTTCGCTCAAATACTGAATGCATTTGAATTTAAATGTCGACACATTGAACCTTTCGACGCCGAATGAAATCAGCGATTTGGTGCTTCGGACAAAAATGGGATGACGATTGCGTTCGTTGTTGAGGAAGACGAGGGAGAAATTAACAATCCAATCGTCCATGCAAGTCAAAATTCTAGTGCACGGATAGTTTCTATCAAAACATCCTCTTAAATGTTCAAGTATTATCAATTCTTTCAGAAGACTTCTCAAAACAATAAAAGTGCGAATTGGCGTTCCTGGACATTTAAGATTTTAATCGCTATCTCCGGCACCATATTGGAGGTAGCGATGGCCCGTGAGAGGTAGCAAAGGCCCTTATATCAGCCTTCGTTAGCAAGACCTTAAAATGGGTTGTAAAAATTAGTTTAATCGATTTGCAGACATCTTTCCTTAGCAATATTGGCAAATGACTGCTTTCGAATGATTATTTAAAATTGTAAGTGATACCCACTGATCTATAATGATAATGCCAGTTTAAAGGAGATTGGATGGAGCAGCACAGAAGCTTGCAATAATCAACTACTTGATGGATTACACTGCGGCGGCGTTCTGAGTGGTCGCGGGTTCTGTTATATTCGGTGGTTCTGAGGGTTCTGAGTGGTTGTGGTAGTGTGGTAGCTAATATAATATATACTAATTACATTTTTGTTTAGTCCCTTAGTCATTTTACCATGAATGCTTAATTGTATTTAGATAATTTTTACGTCTGCTCGCTACTAGATGGCAACTTTTATTTTTCTCATTACGGGAAACGCGATTTTTCAACAGCTTTGTTCTTATGATGATTCTCAGAATGTTATCTAGGGATGACGTCTCGAAGGTATCAACACGTTGAGAGTTGATCTTGCATAGGTCAAATAGTTTGTAATGCAATATCCAGGTTGAAATTAGTTAAGAAGGAAAATTCTGATGTCTTATGACTAAATAATTCGTCATTTTTAGAGTGACCCTCTAACCATGGAGATAATAATATACTCTAGACATTAAAAATGTATCCCAAAGAATTTTTAATGATGGTTTTTACCTACGGCAACCCTTAAGTAACCTAAGTTTATTCTGCACAAAATATTCATATATATGTTTCACTCTCGTATTTGTTAACGTTTCTTATGACATTCTAAAAATGAAGCCGATAATATATGGCATAGAAAGTTGAAACTTATATTTTAAAGACGTTTTCTTGATCATTTTGATCATCGTTACTTTTAATATACCACATGGATTTTTCGTAACATTTTTTTATATGTTTTTGTTACATATTTTTAACATTTTCAAACGACCTTCGAAACACAAAAGAATCAACCTTAGGGGATAAAATTTGCATAAAAATTATTAGTATATTACATTATTCATTATTAGAATCATCATATCGTTTATATGCACTTCCATGACTTTTCCGCACTGTTGTGGAATAGAAATCCAAAAGTTAAGAAAACGCTCCATCCTACTAGATATCTCACCTGACAGAGAAACGTGACATACTGTATAAATATAGACCTCTGGAGCACACAGTGTTTACGACAGAGACAGTCTCGTTAATGATCTAAAAACTACTTCCGCTCATGAGACGAAAATAAACGGGAAAAATTTATATTTTATCAATCAAAAAACAGGAATTAACCATAAGTGTCGAGGAGATCAACGTGACTCGAAACCTAGACCTAGTCGGAGAGTGATTGACTGAAAGTGGATCTTATACACGAGGAACTGTTGAACTTAGACTGTCAAACAAATTTCAAATGAATGAAATATGAAGGTGTACTTAACGACGCATGACTTAAAGATGCATTGATGTGTTCTCGTGTGCTTCGAGTTCAAGTTGAAAAACTAATTTAACCCTTTCGTGACTGACTGGACTTCTCGGTCCCAAACCACCAATTGTACGAATAGAATTGACGATAGTAAATGTATCCGAGACGAAAAGATTAAGTTCTGTCTGATTACTTTTGACATGCAAACAACTGTGGAAGGTGCTACTCGCATGTGAAGCAGCTAGATTAAAACGCTGCCAACGTGTACAGTTTGTGCCGGTTCTCTTATCAACTGAATTTAAAACTCATATCTGCATGAATGTCATGCCCATTGTACACGTTTATATTGATACTAAATATATTGTACACGTTTATTCCTGAATAATATGCTGATTTATGAATGAATACTGTACTCGTACATAAAAAGTTATTCGTTAGCAGGCGTATGGAAGGCATTTAGCAAAATCCTTAGGAATTAATCTCTTCTTCAGTGAGCAATACGCCAATGTGGCATTTAATAATCGCTACACTCGCTCCCAAATTCGCGGGAACGCGCGTTGGAATGCTGCAATAACGCCCGTTGGATCTCTACTGTGATGCGTGTTGGAACGTTACAATGATGCGTGTTGGAACGTTACAATGATGCGTGTTGGAACGTTACGATGATGCGTGTTGAAACGTTACAGGGATGCCAGTTGGATCGCTATAGTGATGCGTATTGGAATGCTATAGTGATGCATGTTGGAACGTTGCAGTGATGAGTGTTCGAACGTAGCAGTTGCCTGTAAAAGTTGTATGACGAATAATCCTTTGATAATAAGATTTACAGCTTTAGGCAGGACGCATTTATAGGACAGATGTCTTACTCTGTGCCGCACTTAAATATTTTTAGTTCCATCTGAACATCACAGTCTCATCGACTTGATCTGACTTGTCTCATCGACTTGTGTATCGATCGACACAGTCTCATCGACTTGTGTTAAACTTTGTGTGTTCTCAAACGTGAGCAAGTTTCGAAGGGCACACAGAGAACTTTCTTCCTTTCATTTTGTGAATTATTATCAAGAGTCAGTTTAATAAATGATTTTTTAAATAATTGGTGACATAATTAAGGGGGTGTCATAGTAGCATTTATTGATAATTTCAAATAAAAAAAGCTAAATTTAACCATTTACGATACGGATAATTGTATGATGCCTGTGTTTCCTACTTTGTCGATCATATTTTAAAAAAATGAAAAAATACGCCGGTAGCTTTCTAGCGTCTTTCTCTTATTGAACTGAAAGTTGACAATAACAGCAGTTCGTTTTATCAAACTTATTAAAGCTATTAACATAGCTTGACAGCAAAAACCAATCGTCCTTTGCAGACTAAATCCCTAATTAACTGAATGAAGAATAAAATAAGCTCCGAGTCAGGCAGCCATATGCCCAACATGCTTAAGCAATTGAAGTAGAGCTCGAGGAGAGCGTGGCCAGGTCGTACACAATTACTGAAGTCGATGCACGTTCATAATTTTGATATTATTTTTTAATATAATTAATTATACAGTAAGTTACTTGACACCATAAAAACGATCCTAAAGTAGTTCAAAGCAGATCTTGATAATAAACTATTTAAACAATGAAATCATTTTAAAGTCCAATTTTGGCGTGGCTTGAACTTCCTTTATTCGAAATTCTATAAAAAAATCATGAAATCTCTGGCACGCAATGCAAGATCCATAACAATCACGAGATGCAATGACTAACGTACCAATCACACATGTACTATAACATTAAGAATAAACCAGCATGTGTCAGAGGCTTCAGCGCTCGGAAAAACAGGCGTCAAAACTTCATCAAACTTCAGCAGCTGAAATGTTCAAAGTGTTATATTCTAATTCACCCTGGAGGCTGGATCGATGACCGCACAGGAACATATCAATTACAGCCCACAGTCGTTTGGTTAGGAGACTTGCAGCTAACGATTTATATGCGTTGCTAATGGTTGCGAACCAAACAAAGCGAGCAAGTTCGTTCCACGAAATTTTCTGGTACCGGAAGTTACCGGAATATGAATTTGGTTTATAAAAAAAAATTCATAAATGCAATGTTTAGAATATTTTCGCTATTAGCCGACTCGATTTTAGATGGCCACTAATTGTAAAACCAAATTAGAGGGTGGTCATGACTCAATTGCTATTACTTTTGGCAGTAGTAGTTAGAGGCAGTATTCAGAGGCTGTTCTAGAACCATATGGGCTTGAATAGTGAACGAAATTTCAAGTGACATACTATAAGAAAGCAAGTAATTTCGTAGCTGAACAACATTAGAAATAATCAATGTATCAAAATTTTCCCGGTCACAAATTTAACCAGCAGATCA